TTGCTGACAGTACACTCAATTCCCTCATCAATTTTTACATCATTTCCTGTGTAAATGATACCTTACTCAAAATAATGTGTGTACTTCCATTAGGAAATTTTAATAATTTTACAGAATAAGTGATATTTTACAGATTAGGTGATAATACCTCCATTTTACAGGCAGGCAGCTGAGAAGCAGAATATTTAACTACCATGCCAAAAGTCACACAGGAGATGTTTTCTGAGGTGGGAACAAACCATGGATCTTGCTCTCATTAGTGCAAAACCACAAAGCCTTCCTGAACTATTGACACTCTTACCTAATTTCAACCCAAATGTTAATGAGGCCACTTACACTAAATTCTCAGTCAAACCTCTCTGTAAGATGGAATAGTGGAAATCAACTCTGCAGCATACCTGAGTAAGGTTAAAAAAGACACTGAAAAGGGTTTAGTGAACAAGTGTCAAAACTATTAACTGTAATAATCTGAGATGATTCTGACCACATCGATGCTATCATTATGCTGGTGTAACTCTGTGACTGCAATTATTTTATAGTCAGTTATACCATCATGTTGCACGAGGCCAGGATGCGGCTTAAAACTTCTTCATAGCAATTCTGAAAAGTTAAAATCACTGCTTACTTTGTCAAAGGGAAGCTCATTTTATCTCCCACTGCCCCCGCACAGTCAGGACTCTCAGCAGAGACCACCTGAGATCTGAAACACATCATCTTCATTCAGATACCCTTCACCTACAGAAAAATCAGCTTTATAGCTGCTTGCTATCATCTGCAAAATTTTCTTGCAAAAAGTTCTTCATGAACTAGTAGATGTTTATGGAGCCATAAGAACTCCTCTGTCCTGCTCATACAATAATGCTATCAAGGTATATTTTTTCAGGGAAAGGTGAGGGGCAAAGAAGAGGGGCTCTGAGTGGGTCATCACAATGACATGACAGGGCATGGTGACCTTGAAAGTTTTAAAGGCATCTGCCACAAAGCTCTTGGTACTACCTTGTCTGATAATGCTCAGTGTGTGTATGCGCTCCCACGCACCGACCTGAAGAACAATTGTGTGCCTTCACTCTGCGTTAGCAGCCTAGCTACATCCACCAAGGCTGTATGAACTAACAGGAATATTGAGACTTCATTTCTAGCTGGACTGAGTATTTGCAAGGAGCCACTGAGGGTGAAGAGAGATGATAGCTTTAGTTTCTTGCCTGTGCTGGCAGGGATACATTTTAGGCTAAGTATTATAATTATACCAGCTGCCTGTGGCCTCCAGAGGTCAGCATATCACTTGAGCGAAAGCACAAAGCCCTCAAATATACATTTCAAGCATGATCTCATTATATATACATTCCAATTTCACTGGTAATAAGATTTAAAGGGTTTGTCCCCAATACTAGTTATGGCAACCAATGCAAGAAAAGAAAAAGAAGCTCTCAGGATATTCATTGTAAAATCCAAAATGTTGTCGTTGGTCAGTACTACCACTTGGATGAGGGACCCCTTAGGTGGCAAGTTTATTGAAAATAATCAGACAAATAGATATCCATATGCTTAGGTGCTATGACTTACACGCTAGTGCTGATGAGGTGAATGGACATGCCACGCACCATCTGAGTGGACTGTTAGACTTGTTCAACTGTGTGTTACAGTTTAAGGGTTAACAGCCTGAAAGGGAAGGACAGGTGGTATCTGTCGCACCCTGGGGGGTCAGAGATCGGTACTGTTCCCTCCCATTTCCAGACACAATCTAAAAAAACCGAGGAGGCCCAAGGTTTCTGTGGGCTTTCCTGGCTTCCCGAGCTGTTTCCTGTCGCATCTCAGGACGGCTGGGGCTACCTCCATGTGCTCGGCAGCATCTCCCACCATCCACTCCCCGGCACCCCTGTGTTTCCTGGTGACGAGTCACAGCGAGGACCCGCGGCCACAAGGCACTGCTTGGGCACTTCCATTTGGGACTACTGGGATTGGGTTTTGTATATAGTTAAAGATCCTTTATCCCTTATTAATTGCCTTTTCCTTACCCCTGTTGTTTTCATTAAACTTGTTATAGTCTTAACTTCCAACCTTATGTGAAGTATCTTTTCCCTAGTCCCTTTTTTTTTTTAATCCTCCTCTGGGAGGATGGAGGACAACAGAGAGAAAATCCTGCTTACTGGGTTTGCCCTGAGCCCTAAACGGAGACAAGATCAATTTGCGGCCATTTGTCGTGGTTTAGGCCCAGTGCATAACTGAGCACCATGATGACCCAAAAAAGGGGCTAGTCAAAATAAGGACTGGGAGGGCTTCTCACCACTTAAAAAGGTCATTGGCAAAAGACAGACTCATCATAAGGAGAAAAAACAAAACAATTTTAATTTGCTACCAGCATCAGAGTAGGACAATGGGAGATACAACCAGATCTTACAGTCAAAACACCTTCCCCTCAACTCTCTCTTCTTTCCGGGCTCAGCTTTTGTTCCCGGTTTCTTCATCTCCCCCCACTCTGCCCTGAGGTGCAGGGGGATGGGAGTAGGGGTTGCAGTTGGTTTCATGCCATGTGGTTCTTCAGGGAGTAGGGAGGACTCAGCCCAGCCTCTCTCTGCTTCCATGTGGCGCCCTTTCCACAGGACAAAATGTCCTCAAAAGTCTAATACGGGTCTGCCCACAGCTGCAGGTTCCCTCATGCACAAAACTGCTTCAGCCCAAGTCCACAAAGCTCCAGTCTGGGTCTGCCCACAGTCACAGTTCTCTCACACACAAACTGCTCCAGCACACACTGCCCGGAGTCACGGCTTCTTCAGGGGCAGCCACTGCTCATGTGGCCCTGCCCCACTGGTGAACTCTACAGGCTGCAGGCAGTCGACCCGGCTCTCGCCATGGGCTGCAAAAGGGGAACCTGGGCCTTGCGTCCTCGCCTTCCCCACCTCTCCTTTCTTTCCTTCAACCAACCTTGGTGTTCTTCAAAGTTGTTCTCCTCAGGCCCCACTCCTTTCTCTGCTGCAGGTCTCTTCTGATGGTTCTGAAGAGTTCCTGGCTCTCTCTCTTTTCAGGCTGGAGCTGCAGCAGGGCTTAAGATGGGGTCAGGCCAGCCCAGCCTGGCCAGCCGGGGCCAGGGCCAGGGCCAGGGCCAGAGCCAGAGCTGGGCTGATCGGGGCCGGTGCCAGAGAGCAGAGAAAGCATGCCCTGCACCCCCCTTAAATACATGAATTCAGAGGAGCACCGATTGGCTTGGCTCTGGTCAGAGGTGGATGTGACAAAGGAAAAGGGTGAGCTTTTCAGGTAGCTTCTTAAAGAGCTTTCTTCAGAGCCCTTCCCCCATTACCAAAGACACAACCAAAAACCCCTCACAGAAAACCCAATACACTGTGTTATAAGCTTTATTTTATTAGTGCATTTGTACACAACATGCAGTTCTAGTGACACTCTCAAAAATTTTGTAGAACCAGAAATCAGAGAGAGATGAGAAACAGAACTCATCAGACGTGTGAGAAGGCTTTCATGCATTAAGGGACTTAGACTATTCATCTCAGAAAAAAGCAAGTTGGAAGGGATATGATATAGGTCTTAAAAGTCAAGAATCACGGGGGAAAAAAAAGCAATAGGAAATGACTGGTCATTATCTCTCACAATATGGGGGTCAACCAATCAGGCAACAGGCTTTGAAATAAACACAGCGTAGAATTAAACTGTGAAAATCTTTGCTTCGGAACTTTATGGAGGCCAAAGAGTTAAAAAAATGAGACTAGGTAAACTCATATTATACTGGATTCAATAATCCGGAGCAAAATCAGGATGAGTTGCTTGTCTAGGAGACCCAAATGTTACATGGTCTCCTCTGAGATCATATAGGCTCTGTCTCTGTTGCAAAGTAACATCCAAATGTATGTCTCTGTGGGCCACCAGTCTAAAAACATCCTCATAAACACCAGAGAGCCTCAGTGTCACACAACGCTATCTTATTTCTCCTTAGCATGAAAAACTCTGCGAGGCTTACTGAGACCTCAGTGTTCTCACATTACTGCTTTGAAATACAACCTGAAGTGGATCCAGCAGGCATCATCTGTAGACAAAGCGTAGAAACCCTGCTACCAAAAATAAATTAAATACAAACAAAAAATCCAGCCCAACCCAAAAAAAAAGAAATAACAACACTCAAATCTTCTGTTATTTTTATTAAAGCTGCAGAGTCTTACTACACACGACAAATATTTTATTGATATAATCTAAGTTAATAAAATAGTTGAACAACTCTTTAGATTTATATTTGTATAGAAATGATCTGTGGAACATCTCATCTTGGAACAGCAGTGCCCAAAA